TATAATTTGTTCAGTCCATCCTCGCTGCTATGGTTACTTCTATGTAAGTTAATCAAAGTAAGTCGGTTCAACGATTATTATTACTTTTTGCATTTATTTATGCAAATAACTAGAAAGCAATTTATAATTAACTTGGTTGTTTTTCAAGAAACAACATGCAGCAATACTAATTACTTGTCAAAAGTATGAATAAATTAATTTATACAAAATTATTTTGCAAAATTTTGTCAAATTTGCTTCAATTATTTTCACGTAATTGTCATTCAAATATTGTAAAAAGCGAACATGAAATGATTAAAATTTATATACAAATTCTATCTATTTTAGCAATCAATTTTCGTCAAAAATTGCCATTTTTTGCTTCAAAAAGAAGAGATTAGAATAGTTATAATGCATACAATTACGATTTGATCGTCAGTTTTGGTGTCTTGTTTAGTCAAATCAATTTTAGAAGATGTTTTGAAGGTCAAACATGAATGAAAATGAATGATTGTTTAGAAGAAGCTCACTGTAAACGAAATACATTTCTAATACAAATGTCATTTATGATGTGATTATGAAAATGACAATAAATTGTCATGTTGCAAAAGTATCAATAAAAATTCAATCGCAAAAATAAAACAATAACGATAAATATTAATCTAAGAGATCAGATAAAAACTCAAAAATATCGATAGATTTTAATAAAAAAATCATAATAAAACACTGAATAGTTTTTCAAGTTAGCAATTTTTTATCCATTTTGTTATCATAATTTTTTGCATATAAAAATTTAGTTTCACTGAGGCAAAAAAAATAACAATAAGAATTTAGTAAATAATTTCATTATTTCAGAAAACGGATTTTAAAAAAAAAAAAATTCCATGCTTGTGAAAAATTTAAATTCAGGTGATAAGGTAGTTTTTGTTATTTGTTTAAATGTTACGATAAGTGAGTAATGTATCAGTTTGATCAAAATAAAGCAATATTTCTTGTAGATTGGATCGACATTTGATATTGAAAATGGCTTAATTGGATCACCAGAAATAACTTGCAATCCTAGTACAATTGAATTGGCTTTCAAAACCAAACGAGTATTTAAGGGTCAATTTTGAAGTTTTATTTTTTTTTTCACTTTGAACTTTTAATGCAAAATGAGTAAAACTGTCATTTTTGTCGGAAGCATTAACTTAAAAAAGTTTAATCTTTTTAAATTGATCAACTCAAGGATTGTTGCGCAGTGTAATATTTAACTAATTTTTTCCAAAAAGTATAACTTCAAGTAGTCACAATATTCACGAAGTTTTAAATTTCAGATGTGTGCTAGAAATAAAACGAAATCAATACACAATTAGAGTATTAAAGAATTTTAAATTTTTTATTATTAAAAAACTTGTTTTTCTGTTGAATCTTTATCAATTCATTATAAATTAATCAGTTTTAATTTTGCAGGTAAAGTTTTTGTCAAAGGTCACTACAGCAATCCAAACTGTCGGGTTGATTACGATAGGGTAAGCTTAGATGGAAAGCATCCAGTTGGAGGCATAAGGTTAAGTCATGGACAATGTGATATGAACAGACAGCGAACTGTTAGTAATTTGATTTTTTAGCGTAAAAGTAAATGAAAATTGATTCTGATTTCATCTCCAGTCCATTTACAGATTCAACCTGGAGGAATGCAATTTTCAACTGTGCTTGTTATAAGCTTTCATCCGGTTCGCTTCTTTTGAACGTATTTTTGAGTAAAAAACTGTGATTAATTTATATATTTCCAATATCAGGTCAAAAATATAAAATGTGAAGATCAGATTCATGATAAAATGAAATTTTGAATTAAAAATAGGCTCAATGTTGAAAAGTTCGAGATTTTTATGGCTGAAATTTTAAATTGATTGCAGTTTTTCGAATAAACTTTTATAAAAATAGTTTTTAGGTAAAGTTAAGTTATATAAAAGTTTTATTTTATCTTGTTTTATTTTTGAGTAAACTTTGTGTATTTTTTTTTATATCAATAGATGCGTTAATATATCATTAAACTATTTCAAATTCAAATATTCTCTTTTATTTATTTATCGAAAATTGAATTGCAGCTATTCATAACAAAACTTGATCGAGCTTTTCACATCAAATGTTTGTATCGAGAAACCATAAAAGCAGTAACCTCTCAGCTTGAAGTTAGGTTAGTTTTTAGCTTAATCTTTTTCAACCTTATTTGTATTTTAATAAAACTTTAAAAAAATCTTTAATCTTTTTAACCTTTCAACCTTTTTTAAATGGCAAATCTTTCAATTTATACTTCTGAAATTTCAAAATAATTCAGCACTTCGACATTCAAGAAGTATTCTTTAATGCAAGTAATTGTGTCCCTTTTTAGAACCAAAATGGAAAGTACGTCTTTTCACTGAATAGATCAAAAGTTTTTAATTATTAAAACAATTCAAAAATTAATAATTTAAAGTTTGTACTTTTGAAAGTTCAAAAATTCTCTTTTATTATTTCAATTGCAGTACGATGGCAACACAGTTATTAGATTACGATTATCCATTACCTAATTGTATGTATACAATTCGTAAAGATGAAATTGATGGGCCAATCTTGAAATATGCAAGAGTTGGGGATCAAATTGTACATCGATGGGAGTGTCAGTCAGGTTTAATTCCAACTATATTTTATTAATTAATAATTATTTAAATTTTTAAACAAGTAATGAATAAATAAATAATATTTTAGATATTTATGGTTTGTTAGTACATAATTGTCACGTGGAAGACGGGCAAGGTGAAAAGCAAGTAGTCATAGATGGAAATGGGTAAGTAAATTTGATTAAAATATTGAAGCCACAACGAAGTTAATCATTAAAATTTACTAATTAACAGTATGAAATTACTGTTTGCTACAACTGATAAAACAGTTTTGGTTTTCATGCAGTTGTAATGCAACGCGCGATTCTTTTTGCATTTTATTAATACTTTAAAGTTAATAATATCAATGCTTAATTCTAAATCTAAACTGCAATATTAAAAAATATCAGTTTAGATGTCATACAGATCGGACACTTTTGGGTGATCCTACATACGTGGAATCATTGAATCTTGCATATCGCGAATCGTTGGTATTTAAATTTGCTGATCGGGTTGTAGTTCGGTTTCAGTGTCAAATTCGATTATGTATCAAAGATGCTGGTGGTTGTGCTGGTGTTACAGTAAGCTTCAATAATTAAACAGAATATTGTACTTAAATAACCGATTTCAAATATTAAATTTATTATTTGTTAAAGCTTTCTATTCTATCAGTTTTATGATTTTGGTAATAACAACAGCAATTTTATAAAGATTTTTTTATTTTTTGATAAGTTTGAATTAAATTTAAATAAGTACTTTGAACAACAACGCTTATTTCAATAATAATATTTTTGTGATAATAGTAATATTAGCAATAATAGTAATAAAGAGCTAAAATATTAGTAATAATAACAAAATTTAAATTTATAGCCACCACTTTGTTCTGCTGCTGAAGAAGAAAACGAAGAATTATTGTATACAAGAAGAAATGAACCATTTTTGCATTATTCTATGGATTTCGACAATATTACTGAAGTATAACAGTAATTTTATTAATCTAAAAATACAATAATCTTGAAAATATTAAGTAATGTAAATGTGGTTGTCGAAATCTAGCACATAATTATGAGGTATTCAATTACTCTTCAGAACATTTTTCCTATGAAAATTATTAATTATTAATTAAAGAAAAATTCATAGCCAAAAAGTCAAAGATTGGTTCGCAAATGAAAACGAATAGAAAAATGAATTAAGTAGCAATTTTTAAAAATTATTTAAACTTCACAATCAACCAAAAAGTATTAAATTTTTTAAAATTATTCAAACTTTCATAATAAATCAAAAGTTCATTAATAAAAAAATTAAACTCTTATTAAAATAACTATTTTTGCTGATTTTGCCCCCCAAAAGTAGTTGTTTCTAAATTATTATATTTGATTCAGTAGTATAAAAAAAACTTTTTTTAATATAAATAACTTATTTACCTAAGTAATTATTTGTTGCTATATTTAAAATAATAATCAAACATGGTTGTTAATTAAGCCAAAAAGACGTCGTTTGATTCGATCAGCAGCATCAAATAATCCCAAGATTGTTGTTGATGCTGATCTAATATCGCAGTCGCTGTATGTGTTAGATGCAGACGATGGAGACACAAGTATAACTTATTTCTATTACAGAATTATCAGATTTAATGAAAAACAAAATTTTTAACCAACTGATAAAATACGAGAATATCAATTAATTTATTTATTTACCGATTTATCACTATTAATTACCAGTTTATATATTAATTACAAACTAGTGAGTAAATGAGTGATTTATACTAATTTATTTATTAGTACTAATTCTTACGTTCACAATGTTCATGGCAAAAATACCTTTTTATCAGTTTTTTCTTAACACTGTTAAGTATTAGATTAGTGATTGAATAAATGGAGCAGCAAAAGCAGTTAAACTTTCAGTAATTATTTGTAATAATTTGATGATTTTTTATTTTGCTTGCGATTTCAATACAAATTTTAGAAGCTGAAAAATCGTATTGATAACTGCTCAAATATTCTAAAAGGAATAAATTAATTTTAATTTTGTCAAGTTTTATGTTTGTATAATTTACGTGAAAATTAGAACAATTTTTTGCATTAATATGTATGACAAACGAAAATATTTTGTTTAGGTGGACAAAATGCTGAAAAATTGGACCAAAAAATATCTGATGTATGCGTTGGTAACACAATATTTGTGGTACTTATATGCTTACTAATTTTTTCATTATCGGCTCTTATCTCAAGTTCAGTCTGGGTTCTGTATAGATGGCTTAGGTATACTTTGGATATTCTTTAAATATTTTAGGTTAAAAATAAAATTTTTACTTTTGAAAAGTATATAATTCATGAATGATTCACTCACTTACTTATGTATATAAGTGAATAGTTTCACAAACTGAAACAACTTCTCAAAACAATTTTTGACCAAAAACACCAAAATTTTCATATTTATCTTCATACGTATTTTCTATCAATCAATTAAATAACCTTAAATTTTAACTTAGTTTTATCTACATTTTAGATCAACTGGAAGTATTGTCGACGAATACTATAAGAAACGATGTGTTAGTGAAGTTTACTCAGTGAATTTTTGACTTAATTTCAGTTTTTAAAATGTTAGATGATTCTTCTATTTATAAAATAAAATATGCTGATTAAAAAAATGACATGTTTTTCCGGTGTTAAGCTTATAATTCACTGGTTACTCTACACATTTGTCCTATATTTTAAGTTGCAAATTAACTTATTATTTAAGTAAATGAATTCATGCTTTGAGCAGTGTTCATTAGCATACTTTTGGGTAGTATTGGTTTGAAGGGTTCTTGGTACTTATGGTTGAAATCGATATGATTCCAATTTGTCAATAGTTATGACTTAATTTTAATTTATAGATAGAATTAAGTTTAAAAATTTTGATAATTAATTTAGAGTGATTTTTTTGTTGATTTTGTTGTTGTTCAGTTATTTCCACTTAACGATCTTCTTGCAAATGTTCCTCAGATTTTTTAATTTCAAAAAGTAATTTGTTATTTAACCTTTTTTTACAGCTTATGCATGTTGCATGTTTAAGTTCATGAAGTTTTGATATCTTTACTGACATTACATTCCATTGTTTACTTTTATATGTACTGGAATATTTCACTGATTTTTTGTAAAATTTTTGAAAGAAAAATGTAACTGAAGGAAATTCGTGTAAACAATTTACCGTCAATAATTATTATTAATTCAAATATTTATAGCAAATAAAAGTGGTATGCTGTTGTTCAAGAAATCAGCCCAGTTATGTAACAATTAATTGTATTACAATTTTACTAATCTTAATTTAAATTTAAGTTAAGTTCACAATTCTTATTTTTGTAGCTGTAATAAAATTTTGATTTGCAATAAAGCTGAATTTCGTTTTCTAAAAGTTTAATAGCTATTGCATAAAATGATACTTTTAGAGAACTTTACAATTTGACTTAAAGTTTTCATAAATTTAAATCTTTTCTATATTACTCTTCTAAAATTATTTAATTTCCGTTTAAGTAAAAAGTCATTGTCATTAATAGAAAAAATGACATGAAACAAAATATGTTAGTAAGTTAGCAGTAATCGAGGAGATCAAAGAGCATAACATAATTGAACTTATATTTAGTTTCATTTTTTTTGTATTACTTAGTTAATTGCAAAAAATTTTTTCATTTAATAATTTATAAATTTAATATAAATAAAATTTATAAGTTATTAAATGAACAAATTAAAGAATACAAGAACAACTGCATTTCCAGTTTGCAGCCTAAAATTTGAAATAATGTCAAGGAGTTGTGTATCTTCGAGTATATTACTAATTTAACCTTAACCATTTGAAAACCTTTTACTACTTCAAGCTGCTACAACCTTAAACGGAATGAAACTAAGAATGCGGATTCCATGCGAAAAATAAACTTTATTATTCAAATATGATTCTGATGTGAATGCAAATAATTATTTGTGATTTACAAATTTTATGATTCTGATATGAATACAAATAATTATACTTTCATTTCACAAACCAATATTAAGTGTAACATTCAGGTTAAGTTAATGTTGTCGATTAGTGTTATTCAAATTATTCATAATATCTGACATTTATATTTACAATGGTTGCAGCAAAAGCAGTCATTATTATTGCAGTCAGTGAAATTGGAAAATTCATAAAATTTTTAGTAAAATATTTAATATTCATAAGTTGATGCTTTTTTTTCTGAATAATTAGTAGTATAAAGTTAAAAGGTTGCATATTGCTTTAGGTTTTGACGCCAGACTTATCCCTTTGTTAATAATTGAAATCAAAGGATTAAATATTCAAAAGTTGAAACTGACAGCAAAAGTGAAAAAATGAACTTCGTATGAAAAAACAGATATTTCAACGAACATTATTTGATTTATACATGGTGTGAGTGTCATCAGAAAGTTTCACTCTGACTCCATTAAAAGATCAAGTAACTTAAATTTACAAAAATTATTGCTGGCAAGACAAGCGAAAAAAATTTTTTTGATCACAAATGAAAAGAAAAGAAAGTGAATGCATAATCAAAAATTCTGCTGCCTAATTTAAGAAATGAAAATTTTGTGAATATTTCACATTTTCATTCATCTCCATCAAGTTAAGTTTGTATTTTTCTGCAAAGTCTCGCATTTGCTCAAATTTCAATCAATTTGTTTAATTAAAAACTTAAATTGTTTTCTTTTCATATTAATTTTAGATCATTGCTTGTCTTATCTAACAAGTTTTGATCTACTCTGCCAAGTTTTTGTTCAATTTTGAACTCAAAATAGCAATAAGCCTACGTGTATTTATGCATTTATGCAATGAAACTTTATGCTGATTATATATTTGTCTTCATTTGGCATTTCAAGTAATGAGTAGGTATTAAATAAGTCTTGAACTTTTTGTGAGTCAAAAAAGTGACGTGAAAGAAGTCATAAAGTTTTGTGCCAAAATTATTATTGTTATTATCGTTATCGATAAATAGTGTTGAGACTTTTCAAACACGCTTACTTTGATGCATTTATTCGTTGTTTGTCAGTATTGAAATCGCGTAAACTAACAATATTTATCACCCAAAACCAATTCGCAGATTAGTGACACAGAAAATTTTGGCATTATTTGGCCAAATATCTCAAATACTTTTATCATTACATTCTATTACTGCAAAATATTGCAAAAGAAAAGAATTCAAAAATAAATCTGGAATTGTCCGAAAAATTTAAGCGTTACTTAGATTCTATTAAAGTAGATTTGATTAGTTATCAATTTCCAACTTATGAAAAACTATTTTTTCTTTGAGGAATTTACACGTACGGAATTTACGCATTTCGCCTAAATGTTTTTTTCGAGATAAAGTAAAGATTTCTTGTCATGACGTATGATACTCTTCGAATTTTTTCGTTGTGAAGTAAAATGACCGGAAGTTGAACTTTCGGGTAGCACTGAATAACCTGACTATTGCTGAAATAAATGCTAAGTAAGGTCGATTTCTGTAAATTTTGAAAACTGTTATTTCACTTAATTACTAGTAAAAATCGCATATAGACTTGCACTTAATATATGAGAAGCTTTATGATTTATGAAATAAAAATAAACTTTCAAAACTTTGCCTTTGATATCACATTTATGATGCAAAACTATTATTCAAAACATAAAACTTAGCGACTTGATTAAAACTTGAAGAGTTAGATTTATGATTTGAAGTTCAAATTGAAAAGTGAAAATACAAGAAAAAACAGACCTGATCTGAAGAGCAGCAAGTAAACTTAGATACAAGTTTTTTATTTTCTGCATTTTTCGCCATGCGTGATCTTTCAACAACATTATTATCCGTATACTTTTGTTCATTTTCTTGAACCGAAACTTTTACGTCATTTTTAGTCATATCAAAGCCAGCTCTCAACTATAAACCATATGATTTTTATCGCTTTATCAAGCTGCTGATAACATTCAATGTAATTGCATCTTTTCATGCAAATACTTCAAAAACTTAGATGTCTTAATCCCCGGATAATATTTCAAAATATAATTACTTTAACTGATCATTTACAACTATTTTCTAGTTTTTGTTACAACCTTTATTTATGGATATTTCAGATATTTTGATTCATAATCGTAACTTAAGATTAATAATGTTAAGGACTTCAGTACTTGAGCATTTTATTATTTTGCATATGCAAACTTCCTATGAAATTAATCTTTGAGAATATCGTAAATACTGACCTCGTCAACGAAGCATGCAATGAAGATGACCCACGCTTGACCAGCACCTGGCAAATCCCTCACAGCTTCTTGTGCTAATATTATATCAACAACGATCTCTCCAAATTTCTCAAAATGATTTGCATTGAGACCGTATGGACGAAGTCTGCCATGTGATTTACCTATATACATTTTTTGCCTATGTAGGTTTAGGTTAAAGTAATTTCTTAAAAATAAACAGATTAGTACAGATTTTATATAACAACAGCACTTTTTAGCTGAATTTGCTAGCAATTACTAAATAATTATTAAATATGTGCAACTTTTCAATTAATGCCGGAAGAATTTTAATTCCATTTTTTAATTCTTCAATTCTATTTGTGCACTATCTGATAAATCTTTATTATTGGCATATTCATAACATACTTCAAAAACCTAAAATTTATTGATTTCCTTATATGATTTTAAGTATAGGTACATATTTACGTAAAGTTCACTTTTTAATTTAAAATGTTATGAGTAAAAGTTCAATAAATTCACGCACCGATTTCAAAGGGACTGTAACCATGATTTGTATCATTTTCGCTTACTTCCATATTTTTAATCATTTGATCGATTAACTTCATCGTTGTCTGCATTATTTCAAATTTTAATTAATCCCTTACGATATAAATTAATTTTGAGTACGACTTCGTACAACTCCAAAATTAAAATTCAATTTTGAAAAGTCAAATTAATGGATATGCAGTTTCAAGGTCACTGATTTTCTGTAAGTATATGCTTATATTATACTTTAGCGTGATCCTTTGGTGTCGCCGTTCTTTTGTGAGACATTGCAGACAAAAATGTTCTCGTTGTGAACATTTCACGTGTTCCAGGCACCTGCTCCAGAAGTCGCTCATACACCTGAAATTACAAATTTATTCTAATTTTGACTTGTAATAGAAGGTTCTTTCATACTTTGTATTTTCTTAAATAAATATTGATATAATTAACTTAATTTAAATGACAATCACTCATAGCTTGTCTTATAACATAATAATAATTTATGATAATAATAATTATTATTATGGTAATAATAAAAATAAGAAGAAAAAAAATTAATAATAATACATTAATAAATGAGCAAAAATAAAGAATTAAATAAATAAGTAAAGCTTTGAATAGTTTTAAAAAGTTGCGAATGAATTTTTTAGATGTTATTAAATAAATATTGAGAAAAGAAGCCTTTTCAAAAACATGCTGAAGCCTTTTTCCACCATTTTTAGTTTGCAAGCGGTGCCATGTAAAGCGAAGTGACTGCTTCTGAAGTCGTTTTAGTTTTGAGCCATAATCGAAATGTCCTATATTTTACATTACAAAAGCAATCATGAGAAATGCAGTTGGCAAATGGAATATTTCTGATCACTAAATCAAGTAGTAAAAATTGTAAACATAATATAATGGCAATATAATTTGAACTAATCTTTACTTAATATTTTTAATATTTTTTTTTTGATCATAATTACTTTTATAGCTGTCAAAATTTATTATTCCAATTTAAACTTCCAAATCTATTTCTCTATAAAAATTCCTGTTATTGCCGCTTTATTTAATTACTGGTATTTTGGAAGAATCTGTATGAAAATGCATCGAAATTATTTCCTCAGGAAATAGTATATACAGTAAGGTTATGTATATTTTGTAACGACCAATTTTATCAATTTCTAACCGTTCATTAAAAGAAAATGCTAACTTACTGTTGCTGCAGATGCTTGGCATACTTAATGAATGATGCAAAGCAGAAGACAATTGGTGATCGTTTATGCATGAACAACTTTGAGTGCTGTCAAGTAGTAGAGAATCTCGTGTACGGTTGCTTTTTTTTCTGAAAAATAATATTCCAGTAAATAATTTGATCAGATGCATCCGACTTGTTAGATATAATACTATATAAGAAATCGGCATCATCATTCGATTTATTACCTCTCTTGTATCTAATACCATCAGCTAACCTGATACTGAATCTTATCTTCCTTCTGCCGTTCCTGTTTTAGAAAATCATTCAAATTTGCACAAATCCGAAGATAACTATAATCAAATAGTAGTTCAGTCGACGGTATTAGATCAAATACAGGTAGTGTATCAACAATTATTCATCTTGAATTCATAGTTCAAGAATTAAATTAGCTTTTTTTTTAGTTTTCTAGTGGATCATTTTATTTATTAGATATGATGTGGAATTACTGATCTCGTAAATACTGAATTTCAAAAATCTGCGAGCTAAAAAATAAATTCATCGTCAAGAAATGATTTACAGCTAGCTAATCATTGATAGGTTGTACAAAAAATGATTTAAAACTAAAAAATGATATAAAATAAAAATATTGCAAAAGGCAGTTATAAATGTTTATAAAATAATAAGCATGTAAATAAAGCTAACGACAAATAGATTATTATATTCTACACCTAAACTGTCTGTCATTATGAGCAATTTTTACGACAAGAATTTAAGAACTGTTTTTAGTTTACGAATATTAATCAGTACTGAAACTTCATTTGCTGCTTCAGAAAAGTTATTATCTCTTGAACCATTCTTTTCGTTATCCAAGTCATAAATAACTGGAGTCATTGCCTTTTATCATTCTAAACATAGGATAATGTCATCAGAACTGATGATCTATTATCAAGTCAGTGATCTTTATTAAAGTATTTGTCGTTTTTTCCACGATTTTTTCTGGTACAAACTAATTTTTTAATTCTTTGTGAAGATTTTTCATTTTTTCTACTTGTATTTATTTTTAAATGCAAGATTGTGTGTTAAAAACTAACTTTTTTACTTAGAAAATAAAAAATGATGGCATTTTTTGAATGTTTTCAGTGAAATTTCTGCTTCAAATAGTTTAAAAAGCAAAATATTTTTTAGGAAAACTACACTTCATAATGAAAAAAATTTTTTGGTTGAAGTTTGAAATTCGATACATTTTTTAATCAAACTTTTAAATTATTCAACAGAATTAGAAAAAACACTCGATGAAACCTCTTAGATAATTGTGTAGTATGTGCATTTGAATTTGTAATGCTTGACGATTTCGCTACACACTGAAATCCATGGCTATTCAAAATGAGGTCAATTTTAGTTGTCATTACCGAATGTCAAATCGAAATTCTATATTTTATTTGAGTTAATGATGTTATGTCTATCTTTTGTGTTAGTGATTGCCAAGTATTTGTTGTTTTTGCTGCAATTTCATAGCGTCAATTAAAATAAAATTTGTATGAAATTTTGAAGAACTTTGACGGCATATGCAAATATTTTCATTTTTGTGTACTTGCATCTATTGTAAAAAATTTTTAGTACTTTTAATCAAAATTTTGTTAAAATAGAAAACTGAACGCTAAAATTGTGACTTTAAACTTGCAGATTTATCGCAAAAGCACATTTGCTGGGAATTACGTCGGAATGCCATATTGGAATATTCGACGATACTCGTTTCGTTTAATTCTTTTTTTTCTTCATCCCGAAGTTCTTGCAGTAATCTCCGACCACGTACAATTTTCGCTATTAAAAACATACCTATAATGATTATGATATAAAGTAGATAAGTTCTGAATAGGACACATAAAAAATTTCACTCATCCACAGTATCAAGTAAAAAATTGCTAAATTACTTTCCTTCACTTCAAAATTCACTAATTTATTTGCAAATTGACTCTCTTTACTTATAATTTGTAATAAGTAAAAAAAGTGCTATTTATAAATTACAATTAAAAACTGAACGCTATCAATATTTATTTATAAATTAATACTTTAATTAGCTTAAAAAACAAAGCGAACAATTTTATAAAATTTCACAGCATGAATTTTGTTTGCCGACTTAGAAAGTAATAAATAATGACTATTTCATTTTAAAACGTAATTATTGAAGTCAACTTTTTCAGGACATTTTTGCAAAAAATCAGATAATTTTTTGTGCAAAATTAAAATACTTTTACGTCAATTTTTTTTAAAGAGTAACACTTTTTATGATTTTAAAATATACTTTTAATACTATGCGAGAAGAATGTTGTCAAAGTAATCTGTTATTTAAATAACCAAAACTTTTTAAAAATTGCTTTGACCCTTTTCTTCTGTAATATTTTATCATTGATAGTATGGAAAAATTTTTATTTTGTCGCATATATACAATTTTCTGAATTAACACTTACTTCAGTTTGGAGCAACTTTTGCATATTTAAATATTTATACCATTGCAAGCAAGCAGCAAATGTTTGGGCTGCTTGAAAATGGTTATCAGCAGTTGCTTTTGAGTCAGTCAAAATAAAAAATAAAAATAAATGCTTTTTAAAAAATTTTAAAAATTTATATTATATGAAGAAATTTCTTTAATTATTATTGTCTTGAATGTAATAAAAATTTTTCTTCATCGAAATACCCCAAAAGCAGCAATCAAGCAATTTTTTGGGAAACTGTTAGTCCGAAATTTTTGACAACAATTCGCTCTCACATAAAAATTATTTTGCTACTGCTATAGTGGCTAAAAAATTTTTTGATAAATATTTTTCATCAACTAAAAACTAAAAAAATCGTAAAAATTATATTCCGAAAAACGAATCTTCTAAGAATACTGACAATTTTAAGCTGCCTTAAATATATGCTGTATTTTTTTAGATAAAAAATAAAATCTAGCTTCAGTATCAATACCAAATTCTGCTTCGTTTCGTTTTTATTATGTATATATAGTAAACAACTTAGAGACATGTGCTGAATGTTTGAAAGTGGAGTTTTCTCGTTAGTTAAAAGTCTTGCTTATGCAAATAAGTAAGTTTTATGAATGTGGAAATAGCAGCAGGCAATTCAGTAACTTAAAGATAATTAAATAAAACAAAAAATAAAAAAATAACAATAATTCATGTTTTGCACATGAATTTAGGCTTTTTTAAGTGTTGACTAGCATAATTTCTAAACTTCTAAAAAAGCGCATTAATTATTCATTTGTAATACCAGCTATGACAGAAATGTGGAAATTAAGGTTTTCAAATACAAGTCAGTACCATCTTAGATCTAAGACGGACTCCCAAACTAAAGCTTACTTCAACTTTAGTTTACCTCATGATAAAAAACCCTCTTTCCGGAATTCAGAATAGGTATTTCAAGGCATGTTCAGATCTCTAAGTTTATAATCGAAAAAGCATCAAACTTGCTCCAAAATATGGATAAAAACTAAAGTTGAAGTAAGCTTGAAAGAAAACTAAAAAAAATACATGCATTATTGCGCAAACAGTAAAAAATATTTTGTTTGATAACTTATAAAAGATCTCAACAAAAGATTCCAATCATTATTATCAAAAATATATTTTTGAATCTTTTTATCATTTCTTCTAGAATATGAAAATGAACCTTAATGCGCATGTAAGTCAATTTTAGAAAACATATTTTTCAAACCTTGGAAAATCATTAAAATTTGTACGTGTATACTAATCATTGACTAATATGCTTTAATTAACTAACTATGAAAGATCAAAGGGTGTGATAATATCTCGTAATAAAGTTATGATAACAAAACACATAGCATAATCTATTTCTGACACGCTCTTATCTAATTAATCAAATACATAAGTAAGATCTTTTTAATCGAATATTAATTTCCAGTCAGTTCATTATTGCATATTTAATGATCATAGTGTAGATTGGCCTGATAAAATTAATCTAATTTACTCGATGAGAGCATGAAAACAAATTTAGTAATCATGTCAGCTATTGTAAAAACATGAATTTAGTCTAAATTTATTATGAAAGAATTTTGATTAAAATATTTTTTAAATTATTATACCAAATTAGATCTTTGGGGTCCGTTGCAGAAAGAAAAGCGATATTGAGAATTACTTATTGCATGGGAATGTGGTACAGAAGTGAATTATAATTATGAACAGCTGAATAAAAGCGGAAAATAGTTGGCAAAATTTCAGTTTGGAGAAAAAAGGTGAGTTGTTTGGGAAAGAATATTAGTATATTTGCAATTAAAAATTAGAAGGAGCGAAACAAACATTGCAGTGCTAATGAAGTGGAAAAAGTGAGATAAGTTTGCGAACTTGGCTCGATAATACTATTACGCGAGAATCATTCTAGCAAAGTTAGCAGAAGAACAGAAGTGATGACAAGAAAGCGAAGTACAAATTTTTAAAGAATTTCTTCAGATGAAATCAGGCAGTGACCCATTGCTTATTTATTTATTTTGGCTCAATACATTATTCATTTTATTTTATTCATTATTTATTCATTTATTTTTGCTAATAGCAAATAATGTGAAGCTTCTGATACTAATAATTATTTTCTGACTGACTTTTTTATACTTTCGAATGTTTTATTAGATTGAGATAAACGCATTCGGCATATTTTACCTACAATCAATTTGAAGCCTTTCAATGTTAATTAATATCAGTCTAATCTTTCTAATAACTGGATAATTACAGTAAAGTTCAACGTTTTGATCGTTTAAAAATTTAAATAAACAAAGTAACTTAGATAGTCTTTAATGCATAAAAAATCAGCCCATAACAAACATGATTATTTGTCATGCAAAAATCCGCTTTATAAATTTAAAAAAATATGGGATTAACTGTAAAATAGCTATTACTATCTCATAAGAAATAATTAAGTTTTTGATTATCTTATGTTCTCTAAGTTTTGCTTGATTCAAAATTCACGATTTTTTTCGTGCATAATTTACGTCACTCTCTATTAGATCAAATTTCTAAATATTTAATATTTATTCTTAATTAATGAAACTTCTTTGTGAATGTGATTTTATCATTCTAAAAACTGAATATTTATATTTAATTAATGATTATTCGTTTTCTGTCGCAGCTAATAAATTAAATATTTCACACAAACATTGAAAGCGTATATATATAGCGTATATATATAATTAGACAAAATATGTATTTCAATAATAACACTTTGTACTCATTAAAACTTATTGTTGAAAAAACTCATGAAGGTACCCTCGTTTAACAACTAATTTCCGTAAACTTCAAACAGAAAACAAATGTTCTAACCACTTCAATTTATTTCTGATTAATAATAAGTAAAAAGTATTATTACTGCATCTATTCTAAAATTATTATTACACATAAATCAAAATTCGTACCTTCTAAGTCATTTGATTTGATTGGTTTAAGCGAAACGTATTTTAACTTTTTGCACCAAAGATTATTCATGATTTCAACGTTCAGTGTAAGCCAAATCAAATCAAAAGTTTGCAAATCCATTCTTTTATATAGTTATAACTCTTTTTAATTTGAAATTTTTTGTGAAATGAAATAAAAAGTTCAAGTTTTAATGAATATTTTTATAACTAATTTTATTAAAAGGTTTAAATTTGGCTAAAATCATTGCAAAGTATAATAAAGTTTACTAATAAATGTGTGAATTTTCAATACTTTCAATGCCTTGAATTAATGAGTAAATCTCAATTAGCATTAATGTTTTTGAAACCATCGTGACGTATTTATCATGCTTTTAGTAGAATTAAATAATTTTTTACAAGCTATAATATTTCACCTTTAATGACAACTTACTTAGACTTACAATGATTTCTTGAATCCAGTAATAAATACTACATTTCCTGTAATACTGAGAAGTGTGAATCAAATTCGAGCTATTAACTATTATTTTTAAAAGAGTATTGTTTTTAATATTTCTTTTTCATCTTAATGTTGCAATAATTCAGTGTTATGTAAAATTTTTGGTTCATTAGTACTGTATTATTCCTTACAAGAGGGGAGATGCAAATTACAAACTTTTATCTACAAAAAGTATTCTATAGGAGTATCGCAAATCATTAATAACAAATCATTAATATATGTAATTAAATATATTAATTGTCCAAAATTAGCTTCAAAAAGAGGAGAATAGCAAATTAAATGTCGGAATTTGTCTAAAATAATGATGACTACTATTATACTTGATGAATTCCAGCATTAATGCACATAAAGCTTTCGTACTTAATGAAACTTTTTAATTTGCATTATCGATGCATTCGCTTTAAAACGTTTTGTATTAAAAAGGTGTCACGTCCTGAAAAATTTGATTGATAAACCTAATGGATAAAACCGCGTAGTTTCAAAAAAAATTCATCGCATGAAACTGTCACCTCTGCAAAAATTATTTTTAATAAATAATAAAAGTTAAGTTAAAGGAAATGGAAGTACAGACTGCTGCAGCTGTGCAAAGTAAGCAAATAATTGAAAATGGCTGCGATGAAAGGAATGAATTAAAAATAATAAATACTACTTTTATTGTCTTGATGGGAATAATGATGATAATAACAACTAGTATAATGCTGATATTATCGTTAATAATTTCTTTTCAATATATAGCAGACAACAGCAGAAAAATAAAAACTGCGCTATCTGAAAATATGCTATTTAATAGCGTTCAGTGAGAATATCTGTTAGAAAGCGAAAATTTTAGAGATTAAAGAATAAAGTTGAACTTCTATTTTCGTTACTTTAAATTTTCCTTATTTCGCATAACTATCAGAATTTAGATAAATTGAATCTGCAAATGTGAAAAAAATTCGGAATGATTTATTGCTTTCTGCACTTAATTATGATAAAAGTTTTGATGATTGGTGGAGTGCAGTGGTGCTGATGCATAGGATATTTTCATAAAATCATCAAGCAGTAAATAGTCAGCAACAAGCCTCTGATAGCTAAGTTATGGAATTGAAATAATGTTTGATTTTGGGGTTGAATTTTGCATCTAAAAATATACCGTTGATTTCCAATTCTCTATGATAAATTTTTCACCATTCGGGAGATTTTTAAATAATTTGTCGGTCAAATCACTATAGCAAGCTAAAGATAGATTAATATAATGATGTAGGTCTAAGCATATTTTAATCAACAACCAAATAATGACATTTTCAGTACAAGTGTTTACTCACGACTTTCCTTCCGTATTACTGACTTTTTACACTTTAAAATGGTTATCATGAATCAGAAGTTTCTGTAGTTTATACTGCCCTGCATTTGAATAACATACTTCATATGAAATTGAAAAAACAAATGAAGTCTTGGTAAGTTGATGCTACGCTACTGATTACGATTAAATTTCATCAGAAAGATTAAAGTTCATACTAAGACTTGGTTTTCTGCTTCATTCTGCTTCCAGTCATAATGAGATGGAATTCTGTTAATTATATGCAGTCAAAGTTTTCTTAAATGATAAAAAAAATTTTTTATATCATTCATTTTCATATTTATAGTTGTATTTGCAACTGGATCGAATTTTTTCAACACGAATTAAAATTATTTTCGGGCTTAGATTTTAGACTTGTAGTCCAACAAGAAACCGTATTTTTCACCCCTCATTTGATAATTCATCATATTTCGATCCAGTGTATCTCCACCTCTTTCGTAGCCGGCGAGTCTGTCTGCAGATGAGATGTCTGGCTGCAAGCAAAATTATAACTCTATCTTCATTATTGTCAATGGTAGTGACTGGAATTGTTGGTTGGTTGAGTTAGTGGAATGTTCCAGTGGTTACGGTTTGGTCAGGTCTCCGATCGCTGTGTCTTCGATCCCTTCGTCACGTGGTAATGGTTTATTTCTTTTATCACTGCTGTTGTATCAAATATTTAGTTTCATTGTTGACTTTGATTAATTGATTGATTGATGCGAAACGTATTGACACAACTTTGTTATGTTGGAACAATGATTATGTCATCCAGTTCCTGTTCATTGTATTTAGATGTTGCTACAATAACTGTGTATTGCGCTTGACAACACTTTTCTCAATATTTGCGGAGTGTTTAGATTACATTTGTAAGTATTTATATCCCTATTAATATATGTGATTGTGAGATTTGATTTTTTGACTGACTCGCTATTGTTTTATTTTGATTTTTAATTCGTTTAGGATGACTTGCTAAAAGGGACAAAAGATAAGGAAAAGGAAGAGTATTATAAGAATAGATTAAAAAAGGCTGAAAAAGGAAACTAACAATGAGATAAGTGAGAGAAAAAAGAGCATTAGAAAAAAATTGAGGCATCCTACCCTTAAAAAGAAAAAAAGAAAAGAAGAATATGATATCAGATAATTAAAAGGAAATAAAAAATTTGAAAAAGATA